CTCCATCTGTCCCAGGAGAGTCTCATTCACTGAGGGAGCAGATACAAGAGGAGTGACAAGAGGTAACCACTAAACGACCTGCTTATTCTCTCATCTCAGCTGATTAAGTTCCATTCATTGAATTCCAGAAGCTTCTCACACCCTAAAGATAAAAAGCCTGATGCAGCATATTTACTTTTAAGTCATATCCTGGAGCTGCCCAAATGCTTTCCTGGAAAAGCATTCCCGCTCCCAGTGAGACCGCTGGGAGGGCGAGAGCCCGTTCAGGCCCGTGTTTCGGCTCAAGGAAAGGCCTGCGGAAGGAGTGGGCACCTTGTGTTCTGGCTTTCGGGCTTGCCTGGAGCACCCCAGCACGGATACCACACAACAGTTCTTCAACCTTCCCTCATGCCCAGAACCAAAGCATTAAGTGACTTGCCTCGGGGTCAAGCAGTCAGTTAGGAGCTGGGTGGGCATGGGGCTTTGTTGTTCCCGAAGGCTACTGTACAGTCCCTTGGCTCCAGCGGCTACCAGCCGCTGCACAGGTTGCCTGGTTTACAAGCTGACTTAGCCAAGCCTGGGGTTCCAGATTTCACCTACCAACTGAGACCAGGAGATACAGCGAGGGGCCAATTTCAGAGCTTTGTCTGAAGTCCTCTACTCAAAACAATATTTATTGTTTTTCAGATTAAAAGAACAAGGCATTTCAAAACCATCTTTTATATAGTGACATCATTACCAGACGTAATGTTGCAAAGCTGTACGTTTAGCACAGTTTCATTTTCCCTCAACTTTTCTCTATTGTTCAATTGGAGTGTGTCACCCACTTTATTTTTTCCCCTCTCTCCAGGAAGATAGTTAGACAATCCTTTGATTTTCATTATTATAGCAAAGTTTTATTTTCTAATCTAGAATTTTTACTTGAATTTCAATTTTTTTCTCTCTCTGCCTCCAAATACACCCACTGACAGTGCTGGAGCCAAGTCCGCTCATCTTCCCTCCCAGTCTCTGTCTAACTCTGGGATGCTCAGATGAGTCCCTGGGGTTATTTGCCTCGGCCTCGCGGTACAAGCCACCAGGGAGGACTGTTTTAACGGCCTCCAGATATGCTTGTTTTTCCAACAAGAAGGAACCCTGTGATAGTTCCCTTTTTCTTAGGGGTCCAGATTTTGAACAATAGGACGAAAGCTCTAGGGAATTCTGGAAAAGAGCTGTTCTCTTGTGATTCTTAAGTACAGCATCGTGAGCATCTTAGCACTATACATTTTTTCATAATTTACAAATAAACTGATTCAAAGGATAAGAGAAAATCTTTAGAACCTATTACTACTGCTGCGGCTGCTTTTTCTTTCTTTCTTTTTTGGGTGGGGGAGGGAAAGGTATGGCCATGTGTGGGAGCATCATTTTTCAAGTGAATTTTCCAGGGCATGGATCCCTAGAAGGCACCTTGGAAACTGAAGCTAGTGCTGAAGGCAGTCTGGAGCCCAGCATTTCCTGGGGGCACATACAAGGCTACACCCTGATACCTAAGGGAATCTAAAGTCTGTGGCCTGTCTCCTCAGCTGAGGTCATGAGGTCAGCCCAGCCCCTCCGCATATTTAATCTAAGGGAAAGAAGGTCTTTGTTCTCTGGAATTCTCTTCCTCCCAGAATCAAACAGGACTGGTTTCTTAGATCTTCCAGGCTGCTGCCCCATCTCTCAAGATAACTAATAATGCTCAGCATAAGCTGCAGTGAGTGCTTTTGTTTTTTTTAAGTCTCCTTGAAGGCTAGGAGCATGATGTTGCGGGAACCTTCCCTGACATAGGCCCAGCAGACACCTCAAGCGCTTGCTCTGTGCCACACTTCAAGACACTTCACATGTGTCCACTCCTCTGATGGCACCTAACCCTTAAGGTGGATACCACTGGTAACATCCTCACTGCAGGACATAGGCAGCAGCTCATCAGCTGCGGAGCTGGGAACGGTCCCCAGGCAGCCTGCCTTCAGGGTGTGGGGTGGTAACCATTATGCTGCACTGTCTTTTAGGAAGGGCCTTCTGCACATGCACTTGGCACTTTGGCATTGCATTCAAGATGGCAACCTGAGCAACGACAGGGAGTGCTGCCCACAGTTGCACATGCAAAGCACACGTGTTTACGTTGGGTCCTGTGCCCAGGCCGCCCAGTGGGATTTCTGCTTCCTTTTCTCCTTTGGTCACTTGATCATATTGCTTCTCCCTTGCTCTGGGCTCCTGCTCTTCAGAGCAAAGCATCAGAGGAGTCGGGGAAGGGAGTTTACCTTCTTAGGAAATAGGCTCCCAACTCAGCACTTTGTTAGTCACAGGTAAGAGCAAGGAGAAAGCACAACTAAGGAGACTCAAATACTGAAACTGAGGAGCACTCACACTACTGAAATATAGTTTGATCCTGGGAAAATCAGTGCAGTGAGCAAGTGTCTGGGTTCAAATCCCATGTCTGCCACTTATATAGAGAGACCTTGGGAAGTTGCTTAAATTCTTTGTGCTTCTGTATTCTCATCTGTAAAATGTGGGTAGTCATGGTTACCTATCTCATAGGTGTGTTTCCCTATGAGGCTCAGAATGATTAAGACACAAATTGGCACATAGGAAGTACTCATTTAATAATTATTCTCTTTGCTAACTATTTGTAGCTGTTACTGCTACAATCTTTTCAAGCAACAATGGACAGCCCCTTTTACTGAATTGACCTATCCCTGGAAAGAGTCCTTGGTACAAGTAGGCAATGAGACTAGTTCTTGAGCATGGCACACAAATAGGGGAGGAGCTGAACTTAGCACAACTAAGAAGCCTATTTTAATGAATACAGTTAAAGATCAAGAGATTATTTTATGAGTAACAGCTATTAGAGGCAGTGGTGAGAAGTTAGTAAGTAGAAGGTCCATTGTTGAGCATCACAAATTGCTCAATAATAGAACAATGCGTCTGTTGAATAATACTATTAATATGTCTTTAATAAAATAACTCAGAAGTATTGATGTTATTGCAGATTTAGAATCTAAAGCCTAGGGACATTTAATGAATTGACAAGAGATTCTCACTGTCTCTCAATAAAATACTCTGGCTCAGTGGTTCCAAAAGTCTAGCATCAAGTGAATGCAGATTCCTTGGCTCTATCGCAGACCGTCTAATGAGAAGGTTTGTGAACCAGAAAGTCTGATGAGAAGGCCTGCAGACCAGAAGTCTGAATTTTTAACCAGACTTTCCAGGTGAGTGTAGGCATCCAAGGACTATACTCTGAGAAACAAGACAATAAATGTTTTTGGTCCCATCCAAGGATCAGAAAGCAAAGAGACTCAAGTGAGTTTGCAGCATCTAAGAGGTTCTGGAGGAAGGCAGAGAGGTGTATTACATGTGACAGGGAACTGGCCTTTGTAAGAAGCTAGGGAATATTCTCTTCCTGTTCAAAGTGTAGAAACCAGGGCTCTAGATTTATGAGACTGGGTAGAGCTGCGTTTAGAACCCAGGTATTGGTATATGAAGCCTTTTCCACCAATTTTAGGATTAGTCCTAGATATGATTTCCAGGATTCTTACCATCCTTGGGAAGAAGAACACTGATGTTACAAAAATGATTCTAGGAGACAAAGGGGTAGGGGAAACAGAACCGGCAACGCACACATGCCCAACAGGATTCACTGCTTTCCTTTCTAGAAACCTCATTTGTCTCTGAGTATGAGCATATTGTTTGGCTAGAAAACAAGCCAAGTCTTCTAGTGTCATATGTGCATAAGGACCCACAAGAGCCAAATATCCAGGTTCTCTGATCTTCTTACATCAGGACATGTAGAAGGGCAGAAACATCTGAGTTTTAAGAAAACTTTGGCCTAGAACATTTCAGCCAAAGTTTCTAACTTCTCAATCCCTGAACAGAGGCACAAGGCAGCAGAAAAACACGGGTAAAGGTTCTTTTCTAAGCTAGGGTAGTTCTTCGATTGCTCACAACCTTCAAAAATCTTTGTTTTACATGAGGATAGAACAATATGAAAAGAACAGAATTTAAATCAAACTTCAAATACAGCTTCCCATTGTCCCAGTGTGTGCACTGGACCCAAAGTGGGAACCCTCAAGAAGAGAGGGAATGCCCTACACAAGTGCCCTGGGAAATCAGGTGTGACAGAAATTCTATTCCAGTACAGTGCACAGAGAATGGGGTCCACAACATGTAGGAAGTCCCCTCAATCTTCAGCCCCAGTTTAAACATGTGCCCTCAACTGAAGAGACCCACCAAACCTGTGGCAGTTTAGCCATGCTACATAATGCTCAGTAAAAGTGGCTCCTATTATTTAAGCACAATTTTAAAATCCCATAGTGTAATCACCAGTACAATGACAAAATTGACAGAGCTACCTGGCATGACAGGGGTGCTGGGGTGAGGGGCACGGAGTAAACAGGGTCACAGCGGGGAGCTTTAGTAGCTCCCTTCGTGGCTCTTCCAGGGCCAAACCAAGTGTTGGGATAAAACCCAGCATTCAGCCATTGTTCCCTCCCTCACACAGGTTAAAACAAAGTACGCTCTTCGTCGTCCTCCACGCCCCGCCCATCCCTCCTCTTCCCATCCCTCCCTACCCCCAAGTCTTTCATTTAAAAGAACAAGAAGACTCGGCCAAGGACAGCAGACTGCCTAGCACCAGGTTCTGAGTTCCACAACTACTTTTCTCCCCTGTGACCTGGAGCCTCGCTGCCTTCTGACGGGCAGCCTTCCCTGGCTTCTAAGGCTGGACCCTTGCCCACACTTAGGAAAAGGATGCCGCAGGCTACGTTTTAAATTATTGGCTCCCACGGAAGTGCTGACGCGTGTAACGCACAGATTGATGGTGGGGGAACCTAAGGGAAGGCAAACCGGAGACGCTCCTTGGGGAAAGCGAGCTTTCTCAGAGGTCGGGGCAGGGGCTGTAGGAGGGCACACCGGCGCACACACAAACACGCTCAGGTGAACGCGCACGAGCTGCATTCTGGCAAGGGCTCTCGGTGTCCCAACCACTCCGGCGCGCCAGGACTTACCGCCAGGCCGTTCTGGGTCAGGAGTCCCACTGTCAGGGCCGCCAGCAGCAGCCACCTGGATGGGAAAGGGAGGAGAAGCGCCATGAGCGTGCGGCCGCAGCTTGGCAGTTCCTTAAAGTTACACGGAAGGGCCCCTTTTGTGGGAACCACGGAGACAGGGCAAAAAGTCGCTTACCGCTGCAGGGCAGGGCCCAACGCCGTGCATTGGTCTCTGTCCATGATCCCAATACAGCCAGTCAGGGCTCGGGTCTGTCCCTCCTAGCGTGGAAGGCGAGAGAGAAAGAGGCTAAGCAGGGGCTGGGGAGGGAAGCGTCCTAGCCGCCGCCGCTTCTGTCGGTGAGACGCGGGAGAGCGGGGTGCGCCCCCCACCTCTTTGCACTACGAGGTAGAAGAAAGGGGAGCCTTCCCACCTAGGCCCTAGTTGGTGCTGCTTAGTCGCGGCCGCTCGATCCCCATCCTCCCCGCCATTCCTAACAGATTGCACAGGGCTCCCCAAGTCCAAGCTCTCAGCCTGGATCTTAGTGTCCCTGGGCTGCTCTCACCTCGGGCCCGGCTTCCGCCCCTCAGAAGCGCCCGCCGGCGGCAAACCAGCAGCGCGTCCGCCCTTTCGGGCTCCCCGGGCGCCGGCCTTCGGGCCCGCGCGTCCGCCCGCTGTCCTCCGCGCTGTCAGCGGGCGCGGGGACCTAGGGTCGCGCCGCGGAAGCCGCTGGCTGCGGAGCAGAGCCCTGGCGTCCCGGTGCGCGGCAGCCACAATCCCCGGGCCGCGCGCTCCCGCCGCCTCTTACCAGCGTCGTAGGGTCCTCCCCTTTGAGACGCCGCCCGCGCGCAGCCGAGGGGAGGGGGCAGCGCCAACAAATTGAGGAGCTCGCCTGGCTTCACTCAGGTCTCCGCTGCAAGCCGCCGCGTCCCGGACGGCGCTCCTCGCTCACGACCCGGCCCTCCGAGAGTGATCCGCCCTCCGCGGCCCCCGAGCGCCCGACCGCCGTCCCCCACCGCCGGTCGCCAGTTGCCGCCGCCCCGGGCGCGCCACCATGGGGCCCCGGCTCGGCGTCTGGCTGCTGCTGCTGCCAGCAGCCCTTCTGCTCCACGAGGAGCGCAGCCGGGCCGCTGCGAAGGTGAGTCCCGGCCGGCTGGGCTTCCCGGCGCCCCGCCCTGCGCCCTGGGCGCTCCGCGCTACCCCTTTGTCCCTGGCCGGAGCCTCCCGCACGCCCCTCTGGGGTCGCTTGTGGCACGGCCAGGTGCACCCTTCCCCGTCCCCCCGGTAATCCCTGTGGGCTGCGATCGCACATCCATCAGGGAGCTTCCTTTGTTGTGGCCTGGGTAAGGGCGAGTTAGAGGACTCCCCAGGGCCGGGGGGGGCAAGCGAGCCGGAACTTGGTGCGCACTGTGTCGGGGTGAGGGTGCCCGGGAGTCAGCGGGATTTGAACTCGTACTGCCAGGCACTCAGAGGCTGGCCTCCTTCACCTGCCCTGGGTCCCCGGGTGAGTCGGGGGCGGTAGGGGTAGACACGCGCTCCTCACGCTGATCAGAGCCCCACACATGTGCCCAGGAGTCTCTTTGGGCGTGTTTCTCTCGTTTTTGGACACACTGGTGGTTGATGCTGAACAGTCTGGGCTGTTTGCCTGGAAACAGCTGTGTCTTTGCTTTCCCACGACTTTCTGTTGCTAAAGCACGCTCAAGAGCAGAAGTGGGGCTCTTCTGCAGTGCAGCCGTAAAAAGTTACCGGGCTGGATTCGGCGTCTTTTATTAATATATTTTAAAAAATTATAACCACATTTATAGTTGAGTGTGAAACCAAAATGAAACTCCATCTCATTGTTCTGTGTACAAATTGTTTTCCTAGTTTTCATTTCCTCCAGCTATGCGCTTGTCCGGAATGGAGCCGGGAGTTCGGTTTGCAGGAGTAAAGGCTTCCAGCTCTGGACTGTCCTTGATGTACTGTTGTTCTTTCCTTTTTCCTTTCCCTTCTGACAGAATAAAGACCTCAGCTGTTCCCTAGTGTCGAAGGCTTGTAGACAAAATTGTGGGAAGGTGTGGCTTCTAAACACATTTTGCATCATACCCCCCGCCCCCCCCCCCAATGTTTAAAAATGGTATTGCTACTTGCCACATTCTCACCAACTCTTTTCCTGTTTCAAATGTTAACCTTGCCCTTAGGTTTTTAGTTAGTGTGTTTTTTACTTCTCTTCTGGAAGAATGATATTCACTGACTGCACTTCACTGTATACAAATTATTAACTGCTACATGACAGAATACACTGGTGAGATGCACACATCATCGAGAGTTTGACTTCTTGCTGGCAGCACCTTCACTGGATATTGCAAGGACTAATGATTACACTAGCAGTTAACTTCAGATGGCTGCTCTTAGGCCAGTGTCTAGCATGGCACTGAAGTCAGTTATTGAAGCACTCTCTGGTGATGATGACAAACGACGTTGAAAGAAGAGGGGAGGCTCCAGAACACTTTATTTGGGTGTAGAAATATTGACCAAAAGATATAGCACTACCAAGGACGGATTGCTAAATCTGATGCCGTGTTAATGAGAGGAAGTTCTCTATTTGAAAATATGAACCTCTGTTTGGACTTAAGATTTTCTGATTGATATTGTTAACAAAACGAAGGTTATTGTAAGAGCTAGCTTTTCAAATAGCCAGGACTTTAAGGAATCAGCCACTGACTTAGGGAAACTCTGTTCCTACCTGGGGAATAAAATTCATTACTGTTGCGTTGGGGATTTTTTATTTCCCTTTATTCTCTAAAGCCTAGGGACATTCCTGTCCACTAGCTTTACTCTGTCAAGTTATCACATGGTGTTTTAAGAGATCTGGCATGTAGACACCCTCTGATCACCAACTGACTTAACAGATATTTTCATTACACTATATTTTTCCTGGCTTAATTACAAAGAGATGCATATGACTTATGGATATATAAGAAAGTCCATTTAAAAATAATATCTGGCTAAATTTTAATATTGTCTCACTTTTCATGTCATCAATGACATTTTTTGCTTAACTTCTTCCAAAATCAGCTGTTTAGTATACTAAAAAGTTGAAATAACTTCAATATTGATCCAAGCAAAATATAATTTAAAAATACCTTTTGAATGATAAGGTGTTACAAATCAATCAAATCCTACTTTAAAGCTAACATGGATGATTCTTTGATTACCTTCTCCTTTGGATTATCTGAATCACACATGACCTGCATTTGTATACCCAAACATCACCTACTATGTGTCAGGCACAAATTGCACTTATTTATTTTTCATGTGAAAGTCTGTTTGATTTTATATTTGACCATATCTTCTGTGATTATACTGTTCATTTCCTAGTCGGTGGATTTTCTAAGCCAGTGGCTTTTGCCACACCTACCCCCCAACTTTTCTTTCTTAGGCAAGAAAGGAGGAACAGAGTGCAGGCTTGAGACAAAAATTTGCTCATTGTGTTAGGATGGTGACTACCTTGTGTTCTCAGTCATGCAGTCATCTTGCCTGAATGAATTGTTCCTTCTGCAGCCTCCAAATTTCCTCCTCCAATGGGTCTGTGTGATGCTTCTTAACAAATTATTTCTCGGGATCAGAAATGTGAACTTTACCTGAAATGTCATGATGCTTGCCTATCAATATTGGCATCTCCAGACCATGAGTCACCACTCCTGTGACCAAATGACTTAGAACTCAAATGGTGTGAGATTTACTTTCCATGTGGGTACAAACCATGTTCTACAGGAAATGTAATTTAAATGAGAAGACTGATTTCTGATATAGTCCCAATAACAGCGACATGAACTCAACATTTTGGGAGTGAGATTGGTGAAGATATAATCCAAATCATCATTTTCTTTATATGTAGAATTGGACCAGGGTGAAGGGAAGCAACTCCCATGCTTCCAGAAGAAATAATGTACGTACATTATGTGTATGTAAGAGTGTATTCTTACAAAATTATTAGTGGTATATATTAGCCACATCACACAGAAGAATGTGGTTTAAGGACAAGAGGATGCTACCTTTTGTGTCTGCTTTGATTGAGTAGGTGATTTTGGAGGACTGCCCTGTACCTCAGTTTCCCTGGCTGATCTGCCCCTGTTCCCAGGGATTCATCCCTTCCTTCAGCCTGCAAGTGCTCCCTGACCACGTCTTCATGCCATGTACTCTGCCAGGTTACTGGCCATGCAGCAGTGACTGAGGCCCACTCTCTGCCTCCAGGGGGGTCTCTGGCTAGAGAAAAATACTGAGGAAAAAAGAGGCAAATACATCTTATGCTGGTAGTTGCTACAATTAAGACAATGCGGGAGCCACAGAAGCACCTAACTGAGCTTTGGGGAACTCAGGGAAACTTCTGGAAGGATATCCCACCTCTAAATCTGAGGAAGAAATAGAAACTATAAACCCAGCAGAGCTTTTTCTGTTTGTTTGTTTGTTTTTAATGCACTCTTATGGGGCATCACATCTGGCTGTGGTAATTCTACTTGTCCTTTTGCACGTCTATGGGTGTTTGCATATAAAGATGACCTTCAAGTTCCTGCCTTGGAGATACCAAGATGTCATTGTTTCTGTTATCAGCAGTCCTGATAGCTGAACTTTTGTCTCAGAGGGGTAGAGGGACAATGGGGGAAAGGTCTAGGAGAATAGGAATAAGAAGCATGTAGTTAGGACCCTGGCGTTGGTGTTGTTTCCTCTCCTGAGGCTGCAGGTACATTGGGATGTTTGGAGAGGTGCAGCATGGGTGACTGATTCTAAGCAGGAGTGCCTTTAGGAACTGACCCAGAAAACCTACCTTCACTTGGGCAATGACATGAGGGAATTCACAAAGCCTTACATTATTCATTAACAAGACTGCTGGCAAATTTCTTTGGACTGGAAGGAAGGCCATAACTTAACAAGTTCAGTTACCTAGTTAAGAGCGGGTAAAGATTTTCCAGATAAATTGAACCCACAAGTGACTTTCTAAAACAAATCCTTTTAGAAATCAGGAGGGCAGTAGGAAGTGAATAAATGACAGTCCTTGTTTTGATGAAGTAGACAATGTTTGATGTAACAATTGTTTCAGAAATTGAAAAAGGATTAACTTCATTAAAATGTCTCTCAAGCAGATATGGTGTTTTGAGTTCTTGGGCTAGAGTAAGCAAAAGCAACAATAGAATGCCTAAAATAATATCACTAGAGCATTGTTTTTCCTGCTATTATTAAGCAACCAGTAAAAAATGTCGACTATAGAACAATACAAAAGACATATTCCTACCATTCTTACTCATACAATGAAAGGGGATGTAAACCAGAACATGTTTCAATTGTCAGTTTCTTTTGAGGAGTTTAACACTGTAAGAATTACTCTGGGGTTAATATTTTGATAGTCTGGTACACAGTGAGCTGGTTCTATCCTGTGTTTCCCCTCCATTGTTCTTCTGGTCTTACTCCTGTAACATGAACCTGCTGTAGTCATCTTTCTAGTTCTCTGCTTCTTTTTTCTTCTCCTTCCAAAACCCTCAGTGGGTATACTATGTGGGTAGGCCTCAGCTGGCTTCTCTTTTTTCCTACCCTTATTATCTGGGGAGACCTACTGCCATGATTTGTTACCTTCCATGAGGGTGATTCCAAACCTTTGTTTTTTGGCTGCAGTTTAGCATCTTCACATTCCCATGGATCGTCTTAACCTGGGCTGTCCTGCTTTGATGGCGGACTTAGCAAGTATGTGCACTTACTCTCTTACACTCAGATTGACTGTACTTCCCAGTTCTCCCATTTTGGTCATTGGCACCCCTGATCTTC